CCCGAATGGAGATCGTCATTCAAATCTGTCCTATCTTTGCGTTTCAGGATTCAATATACGACTATTCAGAATCATCGTCAGAAAAACCCGGTCTTTTCTTCGCGAATGGCGAGGGTCGCTGAAATCGTACGTATCCCCTCGTTTTAGCGTTCTTCTTACTACAATTCACATTCAGGCTAGATGGTGTTTGTTTTGTCCACATAGCAACATTGGAGAAGATGTCAGACTTGGTCTTGGGCTCGTGAATGGTAGGTGTTGCTAAAATTGGTCGTATCTCTGCGATCTAGCGTTCATCTTACAATGCACCTAAGCATCTGTAGCAAACAAGGTAACTTGAAAAATGGGGAACTAAAAAAAATTAAAAGAAAAAAAGGATAAGTCACAACCCCTTAGTGACCTTGAAGGTGAATAGGGTTCACATTAGGCATGATATTATCATCGGAGTCACTCGATTCTTCGTCATTCGGATGAATGATTATGGGGTCTATTTTCCGATCCACGTATTCGTCAGTAGCGCGATAATCTCTACTCCTTCACAGTGATCCACATAGTGATTCAGTGAGGAACATTGAATCGCAAAGATTTGAACCAGTTTTAATACACTTTCAGAGAAAACTGCACCAAGTGTCGTAATATTTTTAAGGTCACAATAATGAAATTGAATTGATTGTGTTGTAATTGCCCATTTTAGTAGCTTAAAGTTTCGACTGATGTTGATGACCCTAGACTCCCGTGAGTACGATATGAAATTAAATATATTTTCTATGGAAGCGATATTGATGTAAACTAATCCTTTGAGCTGCAATTTCAAATATTAGGTAGAATCAGTAATAGAGATTTACACAAGGTGTGCAGGATGGAAGCCTGACGCACGCATCAGGCTTGTATTATTTCAATGCAAGCGCTCCTGCGACCTTGGAATTTTATTCAATCCTTCTAAAATATTGAGTACTTGCTAAATTACTACATGAGTTCACCGAGTTAAACATTAAAACTATCTCTTACAGGATTCTTCCAAGTATTCCGAAACCCTAATCGAATTAATGGAAAGAAATTCGCATCGGCCTTATCAAAATTGCTCAGATCCTTGTGGTGTTACAATATAAATGGCAGAAATTGCAGGTGCACCCTGAATCAGCTGAGAGAACCAGATGGCACAGAGTACTTTAGAAACATGCATTAAGCAGTATAAAAACTACGACCTTGTTCTGCAACGCGTTGTTCCACGTAGCAGACCCTCATCGCTGACAATTCCAAGGCCCACAACTGTCTTTTTTTTCTAACAATGTTTATTTCTATACGAAACCTGCTTAAGTTCGAACACTTTTCCTCTTCCTGTAACGACATTCTTGCTTTTAATAGAAATACTCGACCTTTCACCATTGTTGAGCCTACTTATTGGCTAGCCATTTTCAGGACCTTCTGTGCGAGAATTCACTCTGCAATGATGACATAAGCTAATTAAATCGAAAGTCATTCGAACTCTTTCCCCAGATGAAACTCCTGCAAGGTGATTCAAAACAAGTGTAAAGATTGCGGGTCAAGCGCTCTAGTTGGATCAATACCCAATGCAATCAACGAGATTGGTGAGAAGAGCTGGCCACTCATCTTGGCTATCCTAACAAAACTCCTGCAAGGTGATTCAAAACAAGTGTAAAGATTGCGGGTCAAGCGCTCTAGTTGGATCAATACCCAATGCAATCAACGAGATTGGTGAGAAGTAGCTGGCCACTCATCTTGGCTATCCTAACCCAGTCAAAAAGCAGCCAAGGTCTGTGAGGCCGACGATCAACTGCGAAATGGTCATTGCTGAAAATCCAAAGTCTCAAAGCGCGGTGGCAAAGAAGCTGGGGATACGCCTCGGATGTGTCAATGAAATCATCCATGAAAACCTGTGTCTTGACTCTTTGTCGATGTCTATTTGATTTGGTCGGCGAAAAGTACAAAAGCCTGGTCACACAGGAAGAATCGCCAATTCATCTCTCAAACTGTAGCAAAAAGTCACCTACTACCAACAGAAGTAAGCGGAGGCCGTCGAACCTATTTACCGAGAGGAAGCCGAAAGTTTCTCCGTTTGTGGTCGTCGCAGTTGCGACAGAGGCGAACTAGGTCTTCAAAAGTTTGACGAAAAGATAAAAAATAATTCCAAGTACTATCAAGAACTAGTACAGTGTCGCATGTTTAAAAAACTCCTCGCTCGCATGGGAAGGCATGCAAGGAAGTGAAGCTCCGCTTAGACACGGGATTATCTTGGATGATCGGAGAAAGAAACCGGAATCGCCACCATTCCTCCCTCTCGTATTCTGTGCAGTCACCTGACTGCCCAAACGGACTTCCGCGTGTTTCGAGTCCTAAAACGACGCCTCGCTCGTCATAGGCAGCAAACCGTGGCCGGTCAATGGAACGCTTGCAAGGACGAAGTAAGGAACTTCCTCTCTCCGTGTCCTTCTCCGAAGTAACGTCGTCGAGGCGTGGACAAAGATCACGGCAAGTTTATCGAACGTTTCAAGGCACTGTACAGGGTGCGTAAGAAGTTCTGTTACACACATTTTTTTTGCCAAAAACAACCAAATCAACAAGAATGGCAACTCTAAGTTATTATGTATTAGTACAAAGTGTCAGTCAATATTAGGAGCCATGGCTGGCTACTCGAAATGTCCGCCACGTTTGGAAATGCAAGCCTTCAATCGAGGGCGGAAAGCGTGTACTGCAGCACGCAGCTGATGCTGCGGAATATTCTTCCATTCTCGGACCAAAGATTTCTTAAGAGCCTCGATGTTGCCGTGGTCACTAGCCCCAACCATTGTTCCCAAAATGGACCAAATAGAAAAATCCAGAGGGTTCAGGTCGGGGGGGAGCTAGGTCCTTTGTGATGAAGTTCGGAATTTCGCGATGAAGCCATGCTCGGGAAATGTTGGAACTGTGTGCTGGCTGTGTCTTGCTGAAATGTCCAAGCCTGGTTGCCGAACATGGTCTGACCCACATGTTTCACCACTGCGTCTAGAACGATATCTCTGTACATCGCACTGTTCATCTTGACCCCTTAAGGAAGGAAAACCAGATCGGTGCGACTGTTGGCGGACACCCCTGCCCAAACCATAACTGACTGGGGGTGTTGTGAGTGAGGCACGATTAGCATATCATCCGAGACATCTGAGATCCAATCATTATGTCGATTGGAGGTAGCCCGGATGGTGAACAATTTTTCATCGGAAAACAGGATTTTGTCCACATCATCAGCCGTGAACCGCTGCAGCAAGGCCTTGCTTCGTTGAAGCCGCAACTGCCTGGTGCGAGATGGCAGCAGCTGCGCATGCTTCCGCTTGAGAGATTTCAAGTGAATGTGTCTCTTAACAATAGTTCTCATGGATCCCTATGATACGTGCATTTCCTTGGCCATCTTCCTCATGGAGCGCCTGGGGTTCCGTTGAATTCGGAGAGTCACATTTTCACCATCTCTGGAGCCGTAGCACACCTATTGACAATAGTTCTCATGGATCCCTCTGATACGTGCATTTCCTTGGCCATCTTCCTCATGGAGCGCCTGGGGTTCCGTTGAATTCGGAGAGTCACATTTTCACCATCTCTGGAGCCGTAGCACACCTCGGGCGTCCACTTCTCTCACGATCACGATAGAGTGGGTCTGCTGGTATCGTTTAATGGTGCGGTAACATGCCTCGGCCAGAGAGGACTTTGAATATCTCTGGTGGTGTTTTTTAACGCTGAGATGAAGCTCAATGATAGCTGCACGTTGTGCTTTCATTTTGACACAAAAAATGACACGAACTGAGGAGACCACCGCTTCACATGCAATTATAAGCTACATGTCCAATGGTGGTGTTTTTTAACGCTGAGATCAAGCTCAATGATAGCTGCACGTTGTGCTTTCATTTTGACACAAAAAATGACACGAACTGATGAGACCACCGCTTCACATGCAATTATAAGCTACATGTCCATATAAGTCACACCCTCACAGGTTTGTAAAAGATTCTACCCGTGAGTCTTTCTATGTGAGGCCAAAGTTTTTAACAGAACTTCTTACGCACCCTGTACAGGAACATGTCAATAACTTCTAACGAATTGAAAAGTGTTCGAATCGGGCATGGACATGTCTCATACTGCGACTGAATTTATAACACTTTCTCGTCTGATTTTTTTGGGAAACTTCACTTTTTAATTGATAACTCCGGCGAAGTTCCTTTGTTACGGCTATTTTCAAATGCAAGAATTCGGGCCTTTGCCTCTGTTTTCTTTTTTTTTCCCAATGATGTCTGTACGCGTGGTTTTATGGTTCCCGGTTCCGCGAAGTTTGTCCGCAAAATCCCCCGAAGAACAATCTTGCCAGCAGATTCCGCCGACCTCCGATCGGTGGCGACCGTTCAACAGCAACTTAGAATAAATGCTTTCGACCGGCACTAGAAATGGTGCAAGCGACAGAAGTTCATCGCGCATTGCGACCAACAGCAATAGCATCAACCGCTATCGTTACTTCGTGATACGACCGGTCGGAGCGATGCCACCTCAATTGATTTTCACTTTTTCTCCCTACCGATTTTGGACTGGTTAGTTCCAACCTTCTTCATTTTTTTGAGCAGCTTGGAACCTCGGAGGTTTATTGTATCACATCACGGCACATGGACCGTGGGGTTACGATCGCATTCGCGAAGAAAAACGAAGACTCACCTTTGAAGACCGCCGAGTCCCAACTTTCTTCTCCTCACACCATTCGTCTTCTCGTCGCATGCAAAGGATCGGAATGGAAAATCAATTCTGCCTCATCTGGAAGTCGGCGGAGGATTTCTTCCGCCCATTCTTGAACCTTTCGGAGGAAAAAGCCAAAAATATCAGGCATTGAGTAAACTACAACATATCTGAGCTTGCATGGAGACGCACTCACAACAAGATTAGCTTCATGAATGTGAAAGACTAACTAGGCACCAATTGATAATGGCCTGGATGAGTGAAGCACAAAGTAGCTGCGAAATGATAAGAGTCCTTCAAATAGATCTGATCTCCATGATGATTTGGACTCTACGGAACAGGATGAGGCTCCAGTCGACCACATGGCAAGGATGCTGAGACACCAGCTCTGCCTCGTGGAAACAGCATACGCACCACCATTGCACTGAAAAACCCTGCAATGAAAGCAAGCGAAGGACACTCTCAACACTCTCTATGCACTGCACAAAGTCAATCCTTCTTAAGAACTCAAATATGATTCTGGTCAGAGGTAGTGAAAGACAAAGTGGAAAAAGCAAGGGCAGGGGTTGGTTCTGTTGAGGAATACAAGAGGTTTCTTGCACATTGTAGTCATCAATGCATCATAGAAGGTGGGAAACATATCCAAGAACACAAGTAATCTTCCTCCTCATGGCCTGAAATTAAATTAAAATATATTTTGAGCCATGGTATGAAACAGTACCCAGGTAGACGTGGGGTGATGAGAACAGCCAAGAACTTGTCTCGTCAAAAATGCAACACACAGGGAGCAATGCTGTCAACTGGTAAATTATTGAGTAGATTCAGCTGCAAGGCCACAAGGCAGGCATGGGACGGGCATTCCATCGCTTGCGAGATACTCTGCCTGTGCACATCATGGGATTGCATCACTATGACCATTCAAAACTTATAATGGGAATGTTGAGTAGATTCAGCTGCAAGGCCACAAGGCAGGCATGGGACGGGCATTCCATCGCTTGCGAGATACTCTGCCTGTGCACATCATGGGATTGCATCACTATGACCATTCAAAACTTATAATGGGAACTACTCATTAGTTGTAACATTAGAATGAGAACATGCTCATAAGAAAAGCTGGGAGTGGGAGCAAAAAAATTCATGGTTTGATGGGTACAGTATAGAAAAGAAATTTTCAAGTAGCTCAAGCTTCCTCTGGAGTGAGGTAAGTTCCACATTAACTCAAATAACTGAACCCAGCCTTCATATACGATATCACAATTTTTAAATCCTGCGTTCCAGTTGAGCTGCCATCTCCAAGCCCACATGAAAATATTTGACATTCACACACAACAGCACAAAAACATAACCTAGTATTATAACCCTTTTAATGACAGTCAATTAAATCAACTGTCATTAAAAGGGTTAATATATGGTATGCAGTGCTCACATCTGTTCAAATGGTACCACATTATCCAAGTACAGGTTCTATATTTAAATGCAAAGTGTTCTTCATTCAAATGTTGCTAAGAGAAAACCTTTTCTATTTTAATTGAAGTTGAGCTTCACTATCAGCATCAACACCAAGTTCTATGAGCCCAATAGAAACCATATGTCTGTTTGCAATCCTGGATTTCATTGCTAGAACTCAAGCACCAGTATTAAAAGAATCACCTCATGCCTTGACAACAGAGGTTGAAAGTGTCCCATCACATCCACTGACATCATGAGTGCCATTAGGTATATCTCAACTAGTAAAAAAAAATATACTCATTGGTTTAACCCAATCGGTACATGAGGTCAAAAGCAATAGGTAAAAAAAAGCTGTATGAATTGGCAGCAGGTGAGGTTAGATGCACTGAAATTCACAAATTGTCTAAATTGCCACTGCAGTGACACCCTTGGTGAGCAATAACACTTTTCAAGAAAAAGTTTGCATCAGCTCATGGAAATGAGAAAGGCCTCACCCCACTGCAGTTATTATTTCCCGGATGATACCAAGAGACTATGGGTAGATGGCAGGCAACCTTCTGGTGGTCCCCCATGTTGAGCAAGCTCTGTCTCCTCAAGATCCAAGAGCGTGAACCAATGCCTCCACTGCGAAAACCACGTCACTCGCTGACCTCTGCGGAACAGTAGCAAAAAAATAAATAAATAAATACCAAGAGACTCTAAAAATAAATACATAAAAATATGCCAGAGAATATGGTTAGCCTCTGACTCATAACTCTTAAACTTTTGACTAATTGGATCAACTTTTTCATGCTATTACTTTTGATCTAACTCTTACTGACAATGATGTCAGTAGACATAATTAACACGACGACCACCACGGAAATGCTGGCCAATTGATTTTCCCATTCAGTGAGGCGCACCAGTGCACCTCGTCAACCTGTTAAATGGCATGTACTTTAGGCATGCTCCATAGCATTAAAAATCTGCCTATTGGTAGGGCCTAATCATTAAAAGGCCCTGAGTCATAGATCCATATTGTTTTTATTCAATACATGTCACACCTGAGTTCAGCTAAACTTTCTATTCAGCCATAATTACCTAGTTTAAGAGATTTTTCAGCCTGTGATGAAGGCTACTGCACCAATACAGTTGCACAATAGCAGCACAACTGCTGCATTATTATATTCTTTAGAGGTAACACTTTTTAAACATATTAATTAGTCACTCACTTCCCACTGTCTGCTTTCTCTCTTTTTTTTAAAAGTGTATAATGGTAAAATTTGCTTTGTAATATCACAGCTTAAAATTCCAGCTGGAAACAGCTACAATTTCCAGCTGGATCCCAGCTGTACATTTGGACCCATTCCAACTGGGTAGCAGCTGGAAAGTTGTCAGATCCAGATTGGTTCCTAATTGCAATATCACAACCTGAATGAGAATCTTTTTGGAGAATATTTATGTCAGAGATCCACCTATAGAAACAGCTAAATTTCAGTTGTAAATTCAACTGTATTCCAAATGTTGGGTCCTCTGTATAAATTTCTAACAGGAAATTTCCAGCTGGAAATGGTCCAAATGTATAGATTTGGTCAAGCTGGAACATTCCAGTTGGGATTTTAAACTGGGATGGTATCAAGTCCCATCAGCTGTTTTAGTATCAGTTCCCAAAAGCACACAATTCAATTAGATTTTTTTGGAAATAATTTGTTGATATTGGATATCAACAGAATTTGCATATTTAAAGCTGAACTTCGAAGGCAATTTGGGCAGACTAACAACTGATTAAATAATTAATACTAACTAATTTGGTCTGGACTATGGACCAAACTTTGTGCATGGGAGCACTTACAAAGCACATTCAAGAATGATAGTAATATACTAAATATTTATATACATAATATATACATTATGCATTGTATATGACAAATATTCATGAATAAAGCAGCGAGTGATGGTAAATGGGGAAATGTCTATGGTGGTCACGACATCAGCCGTGTCCCTCAGGGCACTGTTTTAGGACCACATCATCTTTTTCATGTCTTTATCAACAACATTGATGAAGGCCTTCAGGGCAAAATCAACAAATTTGCTGACAATACCAAAATAGGCTTTTCTATCAAGGGGGAAGTGGATAGGATGAGAGCCAAGCAAGATTTGAGACTCTTGGACAAGAAATGACTCATGAGGTTTTATAAAATTAAGTGTAAGGTTCTTCACGTCGGTCATAGTAATGATAGTTCTCTTTATGAGTTTGGAGAAGATGAACGAGGTGAAGCAATGGGAGACTGATTGAGACATTGAGATAACTACTGAAGATCTCAAGTTTTCCTCGCATGCACAAGTGACAATAGTGAAATGCAATAGGATTCCAGGTTTCATCCATTGTTGCAGCCAGTAATCGCTCGTGCACTACTCTCCTATCAAGTTCAGCACTAGTAAGACCCCTTTTGGAGTATTTTATTCAATTTTGGAGACCTTTGAATAAGAGGTGGCACTCAAGAGGGTCCACAGGAGGGCCTAGCAAATGATCAAGGAGGTTATGGCACTTCCAAAAGAAAAGCATTTGGAAGTGTTTGGGTTTTACTTGCTCGAGGGAAGACAAGGGAAGATTCCCCATCTCATCCAGGCTTTCAAGATCATTAAAGGAATCAACAATGTAGACTGGGATATTTTCCTCCAGAATGATGACAGTATGAGAACAAGAGGAAATCAACTGAAGTTGCATAAACCCCAGGCACAGCTGAAGTTGTGACAAGATTTTTATATTTGCAGAGTGGTGAATACATGGAATGCATTAAGTGATGATGTAGCGGCTGCCCCTTCCATGACTAGCTTTAAGAGGAAGCTAGATGACTTCAAGGACAATAAAAAGGGAGTAATGTAAATGTTTAGGGACTATGCATTAGGAGCACTTAGCAATAAGAGACAAGGATATGCTACAAAAAATAAAATAAAATAAAATGAAAAAGAAACTAACTTTGAGAGGAGGAGGTCTACCCTATGTTACTGATACTGGATTGCTTAACCTTGATGCGGGATATCCCTTAGGTACATAATCGCCTCTTGATATCCCTTTCCAAACCTTGATACCTTAATTAAAATAATTGCTCAACCACTGATCCAAACTGGAGTCATTCCCTGCTCACTCTTTTCTCATAAACAAATAACTTTTTCCCTTTTAAAAAATACGAACTGTTGAGGCAACATAAGACAGTCAAGGATTGTTTCATGGTTTTCTGTGATATCTTCCTGTTAACTGGTGAGGGATATGCAAATTTGGCATGAGAAATTTGAGAATTAGAAAACAAATATTTCTTTTCCCATTCAACTAGTCCAGACTTTCTTTGAATCAACTTATAAAGTGTTCCATAAATATCAATAACACAATGCCCTACATTAGCATGCCAAAGAAAATCAAAGAAAAATAAATATGCAGCATATATCTTATATAGAAAGGGGCATGGGTATGTGAACCACTTGGTAAATTCAGTGATCAAGAGATGTTATAAATGAATCCCAAAGATCTTAGGATACCTGGATCCAAAAAGATTCCTGTAAGCTGAGTCTGCAAGAAGTCCATCCAACATGAAAGCAGTGGCCTGAATTACATTATTTATTGGGTCGATTGGAAAGTTCTGGCCGTTTCGAGAATATTCCAGAAAAAAATTTTCTGGAACTTTCTCGAACCTTCCACAGTAGCAGTATATGAAGGGTGTGTGGGAGTGATTACACAGCAGTTGCTTAGTCATTCAAAGCCTATAACCATGTCTTCCAAAATTGACTTCAACAAGACTGCCCAATGTCAGTGCCTTCTTTATGACCTTCCATCTGGCACCACAGCAGCCGAAACGAATTGCCACATCAGCGCTGCATTTGGCCAAGGTACGGTTAATGTAAGGACAGCGTGACTATGATTCGATCGTTTCCGGTCTGGAAATTACAGCCTTGAGGATGAGCCCAGGTCAGGCCGCCTATCTGAAATCGATGATGAGCAGTTGCAGCACACAGTGGAAGCCAATCCGAGGCAAAGTACCTGCGACTTAGCGACGGTACTTGGCTGCGCCCAGTCCACAATCGTGACACACCTGGCTGCAATTGGCAAGAAGAGCAAGTTGGGTCAGTGGGTACCCCACGATCCGACCAACTGCGACCGTGAACACCGTGCTGAGGTGTGCACTTCGCTGCTGTCATACAAGTGCACAAACGACTGGCTGGATTCCATAGTCACAGGAGACAAAAGGTGGATGTTGTACATCAACTACTGATGCAGGCAGCAGTGGGTCGATGCTGATGTCCAGCCAGAGCTGGAGCCGAAAGGTGACCTGCACCCTCAAGAAGTCCTGTTGTGCATTTGGTGGGACGTGCAAGGTGTGATCTACTTCGAGCTGCTCCCACCTGATACCAGCATCACAGCTGCCTGCTACTGTGATCAGCTGCAGAAGCTCACCAACAAACTCTGCATGGTGAGGTCAGGGCACCGTTGTTTTTGATTCTTGCACGACAACACGAGGCCGCAGGTTGTGAAGATCACATGACAGAAACTGCTGGATCTGGGCTGGGAGGTTCTACCTCACCCTCCGTATAGCCCAGATCTGGCGCCAACTGACTGTCATCTCTTCCGCACTCTGGACGACCATCTCCACCAGAAAAGGTTCAATAAAAACTGGCTGATTTTTTTGACTCACAGCAGGCTCAGTTCTATGGGGATGGAATCAGGAGTCTGCTTGATTGTTGGCAGAAGGTGATTGACTGTGATGGCAGTTACTTCATTGAATGTACTTTTTTGCTTTTTTAAAAAAAAAAAAACTCAGTTGTATGGAATGTTCCCGAAACGGCCTGAACTTTCCGATCGACTGAATAAGAATTGAACCACATCCATCCAATGTAATCAACCAGCAGACTCTAAGATTGCAAACTGCTTTTGGGAAGAACAAGAGAGACAAAAATATTTAATGAGTAATGACAGTGTGTCTTTATGTATTATTAAGATTCAGGTGATTGAATGAGAAATTATTGCTACATGAAATACAAGACTTAAATTTGTGTGAATATTTATGGCCAACCCTATATCATAAAAGAGTATGAGAAAATTATTGCTGATAGATACAAAATCCTACCTGTGCAAAGAATAATGGACCAGTAAAGTTAATTACAAGGAATAACAGCTCTCTTGAAAAAAGCAAGATATTAGGAACAGCTTTTAGGAAAATAAAAAGGGAACAGAATCCATCAGACCTAGACATAGCATTGGCAGGCTCTTGTGGCTCATCAACTGGGAGATCATCCTGATCCCCTCACCCTTGCAACTCTGGAAAATTTCCCAGTAGAGGAGGAATGCAGCTGATACTTGTTGTGGTCCCTGGGACCTTCGTGTTTCACATATGACAGCAATGATGTCCTCAGCCCACAATCCTGCAAGACACACTAAGTTCAATTCCATATCATCTGTTTTTCATGAGGGGCATGTCTGTGCTGGGAACAGTGATGGGAAAATTTATAATTGACTCTCAAAGTCAAATTCTAAATTCCTTTCAATAAAAAAAACTTTGCTTCAGTTGCCAACCCCCCCAAAGCCATTTTAGCCATTAAGCACATAAAATCAATATACAGTGATGGGAAAATTTATAATTGACTCTCAAAGTCAAATTCTAAATTCCTTTCAAGAAAAAAAACTTGGCTTCAGTTGCCAACCCCCCCAAAGCCATTTTAGCCATTAAGCACATAAAATCAATATAAAATACCAAAGCACTAACTGTTTCACTGCTTATTTTTATGAAAAATCATGCATAGAAAGTGACTGCAAAATGTTAATGCAATTGAATCCAAACATGCAGGTTACATGAACTTTGGAAAATTTTTTAATGAATTGAACTCTCCAATTATATACAGCTCAAACATTCAACAAAGTCAATATTTTGAGTAAAATTAAAACATGTTCAGTCGCATTTCAATTAGAGATGCAACGATATTGAATTCTGGCCGATATCCGATATTCCGATATTTTTTAAAAACCGATACCGATACTGATAAACGATACCGATATCTATATTCACATATTCAAGCCCTGAGATTCCAATACAAAAAAGACATTCATGAACATATATAGCTTGTACCATATGAACTTTCTTGTTTATTGCAGTTATGGACTAGTGAAAATCACAAAGCAAGAGATCCAAATACCAATAGGGATGAAATAAAAACCAAAGGAACAATACTCTTGAAAGATTCATAAACATCACAAAAAATGAAATCACAGGCCTTCAATAAAAAATATTGCATAAAAGAAGGGACAATGAGGATTCATGAGTATGGCAAGCTTAAAGCTCATGTATAAATGCCAAAAAACTAGCACCTCTAGGTTAATTTGCAAAGAAAAATTGCATTCTTCTTATGGTGAAAGTGAGATTCACATGAATCAGGGATGAATTATTTTTTAATGTTGAAGCCAGTCTCTTCAATGTGGATTGAACTGCTTTCTGCTTCAATATTCAAAGTTGAAAAACCTTAAGTTATGGTTCAAAAACAAAAGCATGTTGGCCTTCCCTCCACTCAATCTCTTACGTTGGTCACTGTACAGAAGGCCTGCATGACTAAATAATCTCTCACTCGAGACACTCGAGGGAGGGATGGTGAGGTACTTCCGGCTGAGCTTGGCCAACATTTCATAATGCTGAGCATTACTTTTCCAGTACAGGAATGGATTGTCATCTATTGGAAGTGTAGAAGTAGAGAGATACTGATCTATTTCTGAGTTCCATTTTGCACTTTTTGGATCCTCAGTCAGAGGTTGAGATTGAGACAATGCTTGATTGAGAGCTTGCCAAATTGAGGTGGTCTTTGGACCAGTTTCAGTGAGTGGTGAAGTCTTGGTGCTGGTAGTTCTGCTTTTAGTCCCACTTTCTTCATGCAGGTGTTGTAGCTCTTCTGAAAATTCATATGAAAGATATACAGGCTTATCTTGGAATCAATTATTTCTGATCCACACCTTCATTCCTATTAAATAGGAATTGTAAGAAACTCACGAAGAAGGAATTCTTTTGCCCTGCATTTGGATGACCCATCTGGGAAAGCTATATCCTTGAAACGAGGATCCAAAAGTGTAGCAAGTAATACTTGTTTGTTTCGCATGGTTGGTGAGAATCGACTTCTTATTTGACTAATTATCTGCTCTTCCATAGTTCCTGCTCCAGGACTTGACGTTCCTTCCAGAACCTTTTCAATTCCTTGCACAAGTGGGCCAATGAGGGAAGCTGTGGCATTGCTTTCACAGACCTGCAAACAAATAAATTATGAAAGATTAATCAATAGAATATTTTAATTTGTAAAAAAAAGTAATCAATCATGCAGGATAAGTTTCAATTGAATCCTCAATGCAAGGCCTCTCCTCTGTATGTAGCCTTTTGTGATGTAGTCTCATTGAAAATTCTGATGTGCAGATACATAATTTGTCCATCCATATGGGATTATACAATGAAGGAGCATTGCAGAGGAAATGGCAAGAAAACATGAATAAAAGTACCTTCTTGGTGAATTCTTCTAATGGCTTCAGGAGGGCAATGACAGATTTCATCAAGCTCCACTGGTGTGCTTGCAATAATGGGACACCTTCATCTTCAGAAGCGAACTCATTAACAGCACTTCGTTGTTCGCATAGGCGTTTCAGCATGTGCAAACTACTATCCCACCTTGTTGGCTCATCTTGCACCAGTACATGCTTGGGCAAGTTGAATTTCTCCTGGAGCTGTTTAAGACGGTCACGGGCACTGGCTGAATGTTTGAACCGCCCAACAATTCTTCTGCCTAGAGCCAGCATATCACTAACAGCTCTCTGGGACAACACAGCATCATTAGCCACAAGTTGCATAGTGTGTGCCACACAAGGAAGCGCAGTACACTGCATCAGGTCTGTGGCCTTCTTCATGTATGCCCCATTGTCTTGGACCTGAAAAGCCATTGGCATGAGTTACACCCAAGCTAATACATTAAGATACAGAAACTCAGAATTTGAAAGAGTGGAATGATTTAGAGCTTACCAGACATTGAATTTGGTAGTCTTTGATGTTCCACTGTGCCCATAGCCCTTCCAATTTTTCCTTGATGTTTTGGGCAGTATGACTTCCATAAATTGGAACTGCTGCTAGTACAGTTGATTTCAATTCAAATTCTGGGGTCAGAAAATGAACTGTCAAGCTGAGCAAACTTTCAACATCAGTCCAAATGTCTGCAGTGAAACTCATAGTATCCACTTCTTCCAATTGGGTCTTAAGCTTCTGGCTAATTTTTTCATACATTTGAGGAATGAGATTCTCACTGAGGTATGTTCGAGATGGAAGCTTGTACTTGGGAAGGGCTGTGTGAAACAGCCAGATGAAACCCTCATCATTCACAATTGAAAAGGGTTGAAAGTCTAAAGCAATCATTTCTGCTACTCTTTTGTCCAATATCAGCTTTTTGGGATCATCATCTTTCCATGACTGTCCCATGGAAAAAGCCCCTTTGAGATCCAGCTGATGAAAGTGCTTCAGCCTTTTTCCACATCTTTCTGCACTAGCTGTGTGAGTAGGTTTTGGAATTGATTTATTCACAGAGCCAGGATCATCTTCTCTCTCTTCTGCCATCAGCTGCTCATCAAGGATAGATGGAGAAGTGTGTTGGCTTTGATGATGGAGGTCATGAATTGTGTGACTAACTGGAACCTGTGTTGTCTTCCTCTTCCTTGTAACTTTCTGTTCAATTTTACTGTACTCATCATGATGATGCTGTTTAAGGTGAGCCTTTAAATTTGAAGTATTCCACTTCTTGGGGTCATCACCACCCCCTCTTTTCACATCTTGAGTACATAATTTGCAGATAGCAATAGACGAGTCAACAGGACTTTTTGTGAAATAATTCCACAGTGCACTCATTTAGGACCCACCTTGTCCAGACTGGTTGTCAATTCTTGTCAAAATAATAGCCAATTAGGGCAAACAGATAATCAAAGAATATGGGAATTCACCCCCATTTAGTTTCATAGGCTATGGTATTGATAATATTATGCCTAGATTTACATACTGATTTCGTTTGCTTTGTTCACAAATTCGCATTCACAAAGACCTATTAATTATGAACTTTGGTAAAGCCATTTAACTTGGACCATGACATCAAGTCCTTCGATTTGCTCCTTACATTAAAACTTAAGCCTAGAGCAGGCCACTTGTTCTTGGTCCCTAGCACTGGACCTCGGTGCAATGGAGAATGGGGCCATGAGTCTCGGTATAAGTCTCATGCGAAGCATAAACTAATCTAGCGTTACGTATAGTCTGGGCCTGTGAATATACCCCAGCATTCAGCTTTAGCGCTTTCATGCCTGCATTATGTTTTAGACAAGGGAAATGCATTTCCAACACCTCTGTGGGCCCAACAGGGTTTATGAGATACGTAATGCCTTTTTTATGATTAAAAAAAAATTGTCAAGTAGCAAATAAATGAAGTCTTGTTGCCATTTGTCACTATTGCAGAGGACGTGGAGTCAGACCAACTTCACCCCTTTCCACCACATATGATGAAGCTGCGTTAAAACAAACTCTAATGCATAGAATATCTCCTCCGTGTGAAATGATTTTGCATCCGTAGCTCTAAATGCCGATAAATATCAAGAATCTCCGCTTGCAGCCAAGCCCGCTATAGCGATGATAAAATTTCGTCACGTAAACAGGTTTTGGGGCACGGTGCTCTGTCATTTTTTCGGAGGAAGTTTTCAGAACTAGCAATGGGAACTCGACACCTTATAGAACTCAGGAAACCATGAGAAAGTTGGCAGAGGAGAAGGGCGCGCTATCTTACGATAACGGCATGCGTAGAGATACAAGGCGGCGGAAGTTCCTTCCCTTAGTCCTACTCATTGTTCACATGCAAGCGCACGCGCTTTCTCTCTCGGACTTGTTTGCATATCTCTCCTCCCTTATCTGTTTGCGGAATTGAGATCGATGGGGGGGGATTTGCCCTTCCTGTCCTCCTCCCCCCTCCTTACGTTTTGCTGGACTGTTATTACTCTATTAACTGCATCAACATATTAACAGCATTCCCACGTGATACTTTCAATGCGTCATGGATCGCTTGCACACGATTTAGGAATATTCGTTTGCTCTTGCGGCCTGCAATTATTTCGCGATGAGTTTAATCTCCATCAACTCGGAAAATTAGCGGAACGAGAACTCGAAGTCCGCGACAGTAGTTAAAAGGGGGCTGGTCCGAACAGTAGCAAAACCCTGTCGCCTAGCGGAGTATCTCAGCAAGCTCTGGGCGTGTTTCTTTGCTTCTTGTTGCAGTTCTCCTCAAGCCAACACGCATGCTAGCTTATTTCCTGATTGTCTCGATGTGTATCTTGCGTCTTCTGGACTACTTCTGCCTCATCAAGTTAGGCAAAAAAGAGCCCGTAAGTGACACGTATCAGCCAGAACGAGAGGTGAGTAGGCTGTTGAAAAGAGACTAGTCCGTCACAATTACACAGGTGGCAGAATGCAATGATACTGACTCCTTACAAGGGATGGGGCCGCAGCGCTTCGCGACCATCCTCACGCTCTCAGTTCGAAAGGAAATAAATTATGACAATTAATATATATTAAAATGGTAAAACGTTTTGTATCATATCTACTTGTTTGAGAAGCACATGACATTCAGACTCATTCGACTCTCCTATTAGAGAGATGAGGGATTATTAATAACTCGCTATTCTTGCTTAGCATTTGGAATACTTCAGGTGTACTTTTAATATCGGTTATCGGCAGGTCATATATCGTTTCGGGCCGATATATCGGTTTAGCCAAATATCGGCCGATACCGATAACCGATAAAATATCGTTGCATCTCTACTAGGAACAGAAAGAGAATGGTGACAATGTTATGATAAGAACTGTGTAATAATTGGACTTGCTTTAACTAATGACAAAGCTTGTGTTACAGGTAGAAGTAATGGTGCTTACCTGTGTTTGAGGAGATCATGAAGGCCATGTGCCTTGAGGATCACATAACATCGGTTGAGGATCTGCTGTGGACTCCCCAAATCTTCCTTTTCATCATCTGTTACAGGTAGCAAATCTTCTGCTTTCACTTTTGCTATCTTGTATGACTCACGGAGAATCACTAGGGCTTCCACCCGTAGATCCCCCGTCAAAGATGGCAAGAAGTTCAGCACTTGTCTGTGAAACCTGGAGCAAACGGATTCACATTCTCAGAGTGATAGAATACAAGTAAATAAATAGTATTATGGTTAAATAATTCCTGTTTACATGAATACAATCTCCGGAAAATGAAGATGGATGCGATAGAGGGCAATGATGAAGAAATTCCGCTTGAGGTCCTTGCAAGCAGCTGCCTTCAGCTCTTTAATGATGTCAGCTTCAAAGCTCTTTTCATCATCATCTAATGAAGACTTGTGGAGATGGGCAAGAACAAGTCCCACCACCTCTGCAACTGCCGCATAGATCCTCTGCGACTCCTGCTGAAATGCACCAACCACGCTGTCCAGATACCTGTGCAGGTAAATCAACCACATCTCAATAAAACAAATGATTTGCTGATGAAATTTCAATGTCAATAGCTCCTAATAGCAATAGCAAATAATCTTTTTTCAAGAATTGTTGCAGGATAGATCCTGCTTTCTGTCAGATCCCATGACCAGAATGAAAACATGCATATAGACAATAGAAAACAGTCTCATTATTTCACATATCCTATCAGTCTGCATTTCAAAGTCAAAGGAAGTACAGAGAGCACTTGCACTTCTCAAAACAATTCCATACAGAGACCTTGTCAGTCAAGTCATACTGTGTATATCTCTGAATCTTTGCCAGTCATGCAAATAGAAATCAAAATCTGGACTTTAATAACTCTAATTGAGTCTTGGGCTCCATGCCTTCTCTCTTTTCTCTCTTCACATATCATACATGGATCAAACCATTGCTAATGCTGGCAAAACTGGCCATTGTCAGTAATAGCTGCGGATAGGATAATGCATGCATTTGTGAATTCAGTCAGAGAACAAGTCAGTGCAAAAACCTGGATCTAACCGACACATGAAAAGCTTTTGGGTCATTCCATCCCAATTCACCCAATGGAAAAAGCTGTTTATACACAGACTCACCCTCTGGCTTTTTGCATGAATGGCATTGGCAATAGGAATATATAAAAATTTCTCATTAATAAAATTGTCAGTGTCTAAAATAGGCAGAACTTTTAATTTTTGGGAGTGGAGCTTAATATGCCAAAAGCAGGGATCCTTCAAAGTCTTGCACCTGCAAAAGCTGTCAAGGTTACAATTTGCTCATGGACTCATTTCAAAATGAAGAAAATCGACATTTCAGACATTGCTTTATATCCAAGAAAAAGTATGCCAACAATGAAAATTTGTTCCATGAAAATTTTAAACTTCAGATAAAATGCCAAAAAATTTTCAGTAGCCACTGGATTGTCTGCTTTTTGAAGCCATAGTTTCATATGACTGGAAGCATTATTCCCACTTTTCCCTTAAACTTGCCTATTTTTACTCATTTTCTAGGGTAGACTGGAGGAATCACACCTTAAAAAAAGGCAAAAAGACTTTGCTTTTAAATGTATTTACATGTTACAAATGGTGTGTGATTTGTAAATAAAATCCTTACAATGCTGATTCAGGGCAGGAAACCAGATTTCAATCATAAGTATTTGAAAGAGCATCAAAAGAAAAACTGTCAGCAATTTTTTCATAACATTTGATCAAGAATACCAGAGTAATGAAAAGTCACTTTCATCAATTCCACAATTTCCAAAGCACAATGTTACCAGTCTGCCTGAGAAATATTTTCAAGTGTATGAGAACTTCATGAAGGGAGTGAAGGTTGCAGCAAGTGATACAGGAAAAACTGTAATTTCAGGAAGCAGACATTTACACTGGCTAACAAGGATTTTTTTCCCCATTGCTAGGAAATGACAAAGGTGGCACTGTGGTCAGCCACAGCTTACTTCCCCTGCCCCTGCCAAAGTAAGATTCCTATTGCTGCCCAAGCTGAATGCCAAGTTTCCAACAATAACCATGGAAAGCATTAGAATTGCCTGCAACACAATTATTTACAGCTGATTTTAAAAGTTGATACTAGTAGTGAGATGATACTTCAATAAATGTCCAATTGCTCAAACTAAATTTGGTGGTATGAGATAGAGTGAAGCAAGTTAAAAATGAAAGCTGCTGACCTCTTTTTTGAGACCACAGCTGTGAGATAGTAAGGCTTGAGTCCATTGGCCACTACTGCACCCAGCAAGTGAATCCCCAGCATCTTTTGATCAACATTAGTGATCTTGTCATGGATCACCATGCATGGAATCTCTACCACCTCCTTCCACAGTTCCAACATTCGCCTATAACATCCAGCAAATCATGATGCACAGGAAGATAAAGTCACTTCATGAGACAATAGACAAACAGCTAGACAAACACACTTGATGAGTTCAAGATTGCTGCGAAGGATGTCTCGGCGGATGTGATAGGCATTCTTCATGAGGAATTCCAGGAAACTACTGGCAGCACTGCGTTCAGCCACTGTGTCGCCAGGAATGGCAACACTGTGCCATGACAGCAACAACACTGCCTACAAGGTTCATTACCATTGAAAACCAGTACTTCATGGAACAAAAAATTAAGGTGACAGAAAATTCACAAAGAGCCCACAATGTCAGCAATGAAGTAATTGATATGGGAGGATCCACATAGTCCACCTGTGACAACCAGCATCATTGGGAGGAGGAAGGACTTGGCATAAGGTCTAAAGATGTCCTCATTATTCACAATGAGCTTCGCCAAGAACAACTTGATATTTGTTGGTGTCTCTTGCTTGCCCAGGACTCGTGCCACCTCTGCAAGACTTTTGGGGGCATCCTAAGGAAAAATCTTGCCATCAGGATTCAGAAATAGTTTGCACCAAAATTTGAAAGGAAATTGGAATTGAACTAAACTTACACAGACCTTGGATTTAGATGGATCAGGGAGGATTCCAGTACTCCGCATGAAACGAAGAAGAGCCGTTAGGGATGCCATGCATTCATGCTCATTCAATTGATCTACTTCCAGTTCCACCATTTCCATTCTTCTTTCCTAGATAGAAAGGTTCAACCTAAGCAGCCTTCACTGGGTAAAAAGCCAAGACAAAAGAAACATAATAGCTCCTCCCAAAAAAGGCTTCATTAAAGTCACAGTTCTTTGTTAACCCTTCAAGTGCTGAATTTTGACTCAACCTCCTAAGTGATGAACATACAGTGTACATGAAAATGGCTTGAAGGGTCAAATGAGGGTTAAAGATGCTTTATATTAAGGAGAAAAAGTAAAAATACTGTCCCTGCCTCAGATGATGTGCAACAAATCACAAATATGCATGTGTCTGCATGTTGTGAGACAAAATCAAAATAGACAGGCAACACTTGTATATTCACCTTCTTGGATTCTTGGTCAGCCAGAGGTGTGTAGTAACTTCGTTTTCTTTTCCCCAGAGTCCCACTGGATTGCATGAAGGAAACGACAGAATTGGAAAAATCAAACTGGGACACATCTTCAGCTATGCTGGTATCCTGAAGATACTGAGATGCCAGGTATGGAATGTAGGCCATGGGTTTCATTTCCAACTCATTTCCACTTTCATCTGATGCGGATAACTGCTGGATGGACACCAATGCCTTCTTCCATCTTGGTACTGAGTCGAATTCCACCGGGAATCTGAGGAAAAAAACTCAAAATGAGGCATGAACACAAATTTAAATGCTACAAGTAGGCTTTTGTCAAAGATAACTGGCATGCAACCTCATAGATCAAATTAGAGAGGAGAGCAGTACTAAACAGAAAAGCAAAGAGGGAAATAAAAAAAACAAGGGAGAGGACAGACAGATACAAACCAGCCTTTGGATAAGAAGCCTTTCCTCAGCAAAACAGGCATACACAGAGGGTAAAGCACAAGGGAGCAGCCATAGGAAACAAGGCAGTATGTTACCTAGCGTGCATAACTTTTTCAGCAGTTCTGATTAAGCCATTAGAATGGAAAGTCTTCAATAAGTTGACTACAGCAAGATCCTTTAAATGTAAATCAATGACCTTTCCAGGAGGGTCAGGAGGGAGGAAGTATTATTTCCACTTTCTACCATAGAATTACAGGAGAAGGCATAATTCCCATTATATTTCCCATTCTGTTTAAGGTTAGGGATGCAACAACACCCCCACATCCAATCTAGCAATTCAGCTCAAGTTATATTTTTCTGTCACCTCAGTCTCTCTTCTTTTGGTTATCCAGAAGAGACCACAATCAAAATAAAGGGTCAAATGTTGATTAACCACGAAGCCCCTCTCCAGCCTCACTGAAATCCTAGTCTGGTGGCTTGCTTTTGCTTAGTTGATGGAAATGAGAAACATAAGCAGGGTTGCTAGATCAGTCATAAGGGAATCAGTGCATCTCTAGTTAAGACTTTTGAAGTCATTTGTCACATTAAGAAGAGAATCAGGGGGTAAATTCAAATTAGATTAATTGATCACTTGCTCTCACGAATGACCTATATTTATCTAATTGAATTTCCTAATAAATTAGCCATCCTAATTAAAACAAAACCATTTAATGAAAGAAGAATGCTGCTTTTATTTTGCATGCCATTTTAAAATCAAGAACATTATGACCAGCTACAAGGTCTCACATGTAATTGAGATCACAGTTGATGAGATTCTCCCAGAGTGGTTCATTCCTATCAGAGTTATCAGTGAAGAGGAGGGTCTCATAGAATTTGGCCTGCTGGCTGGTGCAGGTAAGCATGGCCACAAGGGCATTGAAGGCTGCACAATGGAACTGCCTCTTCTTCTCAGCCAGTCCCCCATCGTCTGTGATGGAACTCCGTTTTGCCTCTTTCTTTGCATTGTGGGAAGCCTGGATGGAGTCTTTGATGAGTTGCTTGCTTTCCTGGGAATAGGCTTTGCTGATAGGAGATTCCCCTTCCAAATCTTCACGACTCAGGCGTGCATACATCACTTCCAGTAGGTGGAAGGCCCCTGTCTTCAACAGCACCTTCAGTTCATCACCTCCTCCACTTCCTCTCTGAAGGAACCAACACATTAATCCTGCATTTTCAATAATTGATTCATACTGACTTGAAGACTACATAGAAATTTCTTGCCTTTTCAACCTACTCACACTGCATCTCAGTGAAGAAGCCTAAGATCTTTGCAAAAGAAAACGTTCTCCTGGCTAGCTCTTTTTCTCAACTGGAGGTACCAGAATGCTCAAAATTGATGAGCTTGGATTAAATCAAGCAATATTGGTTATTATATTACTTAGAGATGCAACGATATTGAATTTTGGCCGATATCCGATATACCGATAATTCCGATATTGGAAAAGAACCGATACCGATACTGATAACCGATACCGATATCTATATATACATTTATATTAGCACATTCGGGGTAGATTTTGAACAGTGAGCTATCTGATAACGCTGCTAAACACATATTTCCAGGAAATATGTGTTTTCCCCAGAATAAAGCTACATTACCAGATTGTTCTCTGTTCAAAAATCCACCCTCAGGCATTAATCCCTCCACTTTTAAGTTTTACTTGGGACCAGGTCTGATGGGGAAAGCTTGAGGTGCACCAGTGGTGTACCTCATGCTTTTGCCATTTCTCCAATAGTGAGAAGAAATGTTTTCTTCATGTTGAAGCCAGGCTCCTCAATGTGGATTTTTTAAATATTACATTGGATTTGCATCAGGCATTTTATTTCCTATGTTCCATCCTAGAACTTACAATAAGGTGGAATAGCAGTAACTTCTTTTTTTTTCAAAGTAGCACTCAGCCAGAAAATGTCAAGAATGTCAAAGTTCCCTCCTTCATACTTCTAATGGACACCCAGACAGACATGACTGACAAATTGTTAACACATCAGGTAATTTGCCATGAAGATGAAATGTGAACATAACTGCTTTTCAGTAAAATTTCTAAGGCAAACAATCATATTTATTATATTACAGAAGTTTTTATCTACAAAGATATTTACGTAATGCATTATATTATAAATATTCAAATATAAATTATGACATTATTAATAATTTTGATCAATTAGGGCTGCACCGACGTATTGACAACAGAGATTCGCATCTGGTGTTGCACCATTGATGCCATGGCTACAGTAAATTTGGAAGCTGTCGATGCCGAAGCCTGAAAGAGGGCAAAATGCAAAAAAAGAAAACTACGTGAGTGTGAGCGCAGTTTGTTTCCCGGCCTGCCTGTCTCACTGAAAGCCTTCCCTGCCGTCCTCTCCCAGAAAAAAGTATCGATCAGATTATGCGAGGAGTCCTCGATTTACGTCGTTCCAATATGACGTCGTATATCGAGGACTTCCTGTATATAATTTAGTCCATGGGAAAGCAGGTTTCGTTTTACGTCGTGTTTTCCGGGAACGCATCCATTTGTACCAAGGTTTTGGGATCCATCTAGGCCTGGGTTCTTCGCGCTAACAGAAGCGATGTCTCAATTTTCGCAGAAAGTTTAGGCTATGGTAGTGGCATTAGGCCGAGTTAAGTAGATGACGCTTCTCATCTCTTTCCCAGGTGACTGGGTAATGAGCTTATGTCCCGTGACAGGGTGGCCTGGGCTCGAACCTAGCCAAGTCAAGCGTACTGTATATTTCCTAGTTAAAGCGCCAGCATGCTTGGGAAGGGAGTACCTGAGCACAGAGCGCTCCTATCTCCAGATGTGGGACGTTGAGGAACCGCGGCAGTGAAGGTCGAATCCCAGGAGAATCCCAATGCAAAGGGGAAAAATGCTTATATTTTCAGCAGCCTAATACTTCTTTTTTAAAACGGGTCATTTAGGCATTTTCAACCTTCTGCAGTGTTTTCACTTGAGTTGGACATTTTTTCACTTGACTTTGACACTCATGCATGAGGAATGTCCCATGAACGAGTGTTTGAGTCAAGTGAAATGTTGTCTAATGGGAAAAAGGTGAGAATATTCATAATTCGCTTTACATACTTAGCGTTTGGCATACTTCAGGTGTAACTTCAATATCGGTTATCAGCAGGTCATGTATCATTTTAGGCCGATATCTCGGATTCACCTAATATCGGACGATACTGATAACCGATAAAATATCGTTGCATCTCTAATATTAAGACTTTGTGCATAATTAATACATACTTCATCACCTATGACCAAACTTGAATGGCCATAAGCCAGAATATTAGCAAAACAAACTTTAATTCTCAAAACATATATATTTCTGTAGCAAAACATGAAAAATGCATTCCCTTAACATAATTTTTTTGTGTCAGTGATAAATTTCAAGTGTACAGTTGTAAGATTGTGCACCTTTAGGTGCCAGAACTTCTATTTTGCTATGAGGGTTTATGAGCATACATCTCACCAATGAACTGTCTGTCATTAATGATCTTGAATACAGAAATTATACTAATATACTATACTTTGAGTCATAGTACTAATGTGCCCAGTGGTTTATTTTCCAAAAATTTCATATGAAAGTAAGTCCTCAGCACCTCTGGTGGCCAAGGAATTCATAGCATGCACACTCACATAAGCAACAAAACATGAGGCTCATACTAATGCAAGCCTAGCAAGAGCTATGTGAAGGAAAGGGAAGAAATCAAGAAAAGGTTAATGGCAACATTTAAACTTCATGCTTGATTCAATAGCTTTCTGAGAAGATTATAAAGAAATAGCCTTATCCCTCAATAAATAAATAGATGATAATGCCTTCATTTCCAAGATAGAATATTTGGTGGGAAGGCTCTTTTGGTAAACAATGCAAGAAAGATCATCAGTCTGGTATTCTCATACATATATATTCCTTGCATTTCATAGTACAATATTATGGAAGTACACTCCCAGAGATTACAGGAAATATCCCACAAATATGATCTGCTCACATACCTCTGCCATGACAATATCCATTATTTCTCGGATATGGGAGACAAAAAACTTGATGAGTGCAGGTGGTTTGGCAACCTGCAAGATGGGCAAGCAGGTCTGCTTAAGGATGCGGAGCCGCATTTCACTTGAGAACGATCCTCCAGCAAAGAAGAAGGATGCCATAGATAGCAGGCCTTCCACTTCTGCCTGTCTGTATTTGATGGCAACAATAAGAAAATGTTTCCATAAAGAGGGAAAAAACAAAAGCACAAGTTTAAAAACTAATTTAGACTGCACATAGAGAAGGTACTCAGAAATTCTCTTCAAATAATCCATTCTTTCTCCTGCCAATTTCAATACCTTATATTATCACAAACTCCAACGAGAAAAGCCTCAAAAGCCCACATTGGACAAGCTAATAATCACATAACAGATGCTCAAAAATATTCCACTAAATTATTCTTTCTCAATAAAATGTCCAGCTAAGCAATTTTTTTAATTCTACAGGGTGGCACAAAAAGTACTTATGCATTTTTGACTAGCTACATTTTCCTCACATAATTCTTAACAACAAAACAGAAATTGGTCATACCCGCTGACTTGGTGGATGACATTTGTTACAATTTGACTCAGTTAGTTGTTGTGGTCACTGTAACAGATGAGAATTGGATGGCAAAATAAGCACAAGTGATGACACCAACAAATGTCAAAAATGTATAGAAACTTTTGCACCACCCTGTATTTAAAAATTTGCTCCATATTCCCTTGCAGAGCCCTTTCCCAAACAAAACTGATTCTTTCTAACTCAAACACAACCTAGACATTCACTCCATCATGTCTCACATCCTCCAAAACTTGCAGCCTGATAAGCATACTTAAAGCTCTTGGCCCTATCAATACACCAGGAAGAAACTAATGGAATGAAGATCATTGTCTCATCTCCATCACATTCGAGATGTCCATGTAGCATGAAAAGTCACAGTTGGGAACAACTAGTCCTACCATTGGCTAAGCCACAACATCACCTGGTCCTGGACACAGCCTGATTTGGATATACTATCATCCCCACTGGTAGACTACATCCTCACACCACAATGTATCTGCTTGGGACTGCATTTAATATGAGCTCCTATCAGGCAGTAACCTCAATTATATCAATCACTCTCTTTTGATTGAGAACTTTAACTTCTGCCACCACAAACTTCACCAACCATCACCCAGTGCTTGCTTTTTCAGAAGATACGAAGAACTCAATTTTCCTGAAAGTTTAGAGCAATTTTATAATTCAAAAAAATACTCTATTGGCCATCAACAAAGATTCAGCAGTCCCAACTGCAAATCTGTGAATTTCTCATGAGAAATTCACTGCCTCTAACAAACCCCATCTACCATAGCTTCCACAGGAATCCCATTGTAAAAAAAAATGTTTTCTTTATTATGGAGTCACTTAATTAATGCCTTGAGAGCAGCACATTAAGCCATATTACCAACCCAAAACAGACTTTGAATAAATTAGATATGTGGGAAATTAGATATTGGATACCTTCCAATTGCCAAAAGGAATGCCATATCAAATAATATTATGCCCCATACCCCAAAACTAACTGACACTGAATATGCCACTGCACACAACTTCTCTCTACTGACAACTTCATTCATCTTCATCAATACCAAGAGAAAGTACTCAATACCTTTACTATCATCCCCCCAAAAAATATATCATTTCCTCTTCCTACTCAAGGAGGAGGTGAATATGGAAAATTCCCATTACAAGTTTATAACAAAATTAATTCCATAGTCTCCTGGCACTTATAATGCTTCATAAGTGGATTTACTGCATCAGATTCTCCAAAAATGGACAGAGGGAGAGAAAGCAGGGGAACAAGAGGACTCACCTCTGCATGAGGTTCTGAAGGGAAGATGCAAACTTCCCTGCTAAAGGGTGATTCTCCTCCCGACACAAGACTGAAAGGAGGAAACGAGAGATGGCCAAGTTCCCTGTCACTTCCAGGGAATGGATGATATGGGACAGAGCATCCATGTAATCTGTATGGGCAGAGTTTCCCATCCTCTGCTCCTGTCCACTCCACTCATGCGAGTGAAGTGGGAAATGTTGTCCACTTAAACTTGAGAGCATCTTCCTATTTTATGAAATACAAACTTTCACTGCCAGAAACTACAGGATGGCCAGCCTACATGAAATTCTGTTTTCTTTGAAAGTCTTCCATCAGGATATATCTAGACTCACTCAAGGTCAGCAGATTTAAGGAATTTGGAGCTGACAACAAATGGAAGGAGAGCCAGGAGTTTCAGCTTTAGGCTCAAGTCGAAATGAGTTGATGTGAGCAGCTCAGAATAGAGTCTGAGGAAGGAGGCAGATTGTTGAAGGGCAGCCTGATGTGCAAGGACTAACTGATTGAAACATGATATCACCCATTCCACCTTCCCTTCTTTTCCTTCCATCCATGTCTCCAGCTGGCTAAGGCAGGAGAGAAATGTCTCTCCAACCTCTTTGCCAAACCTACAGGAGATGTGACAAGATAATGCTTCATGATGCAAAAGTCAATAACTTAAAAAATAATGGTATAGCCAAAACTACAAGGAGCACATCAAAGGAACAAACCAAATCATAAAAATCATACATTAGTAAACCCCTGCATAGACCAATAATGGAAAATCTAAATAGGCATAATAATGAATTAAGACTGTAGAAACTTGACAAGAATATCCATGTAGTGGAAATTGGCAATGAAGAGAATTAAATATAACAAAATCAGAACAAAATTCTATAACTGATGGAAAATATTAGGAATGATCCTGAAATAGGCTAAACCAAAACTAACAACGTGCAAATGATAATTTCATAAAATGGGCCATTGGATAAAAGTAATGGCTGATTAAAGCAAAAGCAGAATATATAGAGTTTTTCACACAAGTGAGAATTTTTTATTTAAACTCAGGCACCTGTAGAAGGGATGTTTCTCACACACAAGTATTTGAGTTTAGTGAAAAACATGAAATAAACATGAAAAGCAAAACGTTTTTCCATTTAGAATGTGATTCATACTGACATTTTCTTGAGGGAGGAATCAGTAGCAAGGTGCTGGAATAGAGCAAGAAGAATAGAGCTGGTCTCTCCTCCCACATTTGGGTCTCCCAAAGCAGAGACCATTTTGGGAATGTAGACACGATGTCTCTTGAGGAGCTCCTTGTTCCACGTTAGGGCCAGGGATCCATACAGCCCACCACTATTGACCAGGCAGGACAACACCTTCTCTGCCTACAACCACCCACACAGATGTGAGTAAAAAAAAATGTACATGGATACTTCAATAAACAGAAGAAGTCAACCACCAGAGGAATAAAAATGTACACCTAATACTCCTTTCAAAAACTTGAATAAATTCAAAGGGTTGAGATGATGAGAGGAGAGGACAAAACTTCTCTCAATGTGGTAGGCTCCAGGATAAAACAAAGAATTTGATTCCATAGAACCAAAATCTCAGTTTCATCCACAATGTCTTCCTTATCTATGACCACTCATAAATTAATCTTATGATTTAAGTAGTTCTTGGCCCACACCCTCCATTGCTTTTGTACTTACATGCTCCCAAAAATTGTTTAAACTAGATGAATGGAATGAATCTTTGTTAAGAGATTGGTAATGTATTGCTGAGTGGCATGATTCCAAGATCTGACACATGGTAATGTTCCCTTAGAACCTCCTGCATTCTGGAGATCTATCCAATTAATCTTCGCAATCACCTTGATGAAGTAGCTCTAATACAAACCCTGTCCCACAATAAGTTTCCTTTTCATAAATAAATTGGCCTGCTACATCTGTGGGATGCTATATGAGTTAGAAAGGGTCAAGGAAAATTCACTCCTGGACAACCAGACCCTCTTCATGAGGGCAAGCAAGACTCTAAGGCAAAAAAAAGCATGACATGAGAATATCTTCCCTATTACCTAGCAGCCCCAAGGAAAATGAGCAGTTTGGGAGTGATACAGAACTGCATTGAGACATTAGCAAAAACTTACGGGCAGTCCAGCTTTGAAGGCAAATGTCAAGAGACTGGAGAAACAAAGTATATCCTCAGTTGTCAGCGATTTGTTGACCACAGATTCTGAGACATAAGTGAAGACTTTCTCTCCAAGGCCATGTATCACAACAATGTCATCCAGGAATCCATTGTCCAAGAGCAAGGAATATCCAAGGACAAGATACCGCAACCTGATCGTGTCTTGGACCGGATCAGCACCTGTCACCAGTGCAATGAGGTTGTACTCCGTCTGAGTCTCCATTAAGTTTTTCAGAACACCTCTAAGTTGCTCCTTGGTGGGAGTAGGGAGTTTCTTGAACAGCACTCCAAGACGCTCAGGGAGCTTCTCAAACACCTCTGGATCTCTCATATCAAAGCCAATCTGCATTGGATCCAAAGTGCATTTCAACACAAGATGCAAGAGTCTGGTTTGTTCTTCTTTGTCTTTCCAGGGAAGGTGTCCCACAGCCGTAAGCATGTCTAACAATCGGACTATTACTGTGCACTTGAGTCGAGCAAATGCATCCTTCTCGGTTGGAGTCACCAAGACATTTCCATTCTTCTCAAAGGACTCTAGACTGACTTCACTCCAATGCTGAATGAAGGAGGCAGAAGAAGACACAACAAGCGAATCGGGAGATGAAAATACACGCCCATGGTCTAGATAGGAGCCCCGGAAGAGCCAAGTATAAGCATCAAGAGCAGCAAGGAGATCCTCCAGCAATGATGAGATCAACGGCAATTGGAGAGTTTTGGGGATGGGGAAGGAGGCAGATTTCTGGATTCCCCTAACACCTTGCATCATTCCACATCCTTCCAGGATGCCGAACAAGGCTTTTAAACTCTGTTCCTTCATGAAGTGGTCCACATACTGCTTTGGTCTTTGGAGACCTGAAAAAATATGTGAATAAAAATTAAAATAATAATAATAATAATCTCCCCGAGAGGATGAGTCTAAGATACTGCAAGCAGTTCAGGCTTAAGCCCCTTTCCTTTTCTATTGAATATTAAAATAGAAAGCAAGATCATAGGGTAGTTATGCATGGAAGGTATCATGGCAGACTTGGCTGACATGTAAAATTCTTTCATTTGTTTCAAATGGGACCGAACCAAGCAAAATAAAGAGCGAAGCAAACACAAAAAATGAAAACCTGGTGTGCTGATGGAAAGCTTGGTGAAGAGCTCCTGGGACTTGTGTCTGGCATGAGTCCAAGGCGAAGCTGATTGGGAAAAGAGCCAAAGAAGGAGATCGCCTAGACTCTTCAATTCTCCTCGTCTCTCCTCCTTTTCTTTCAGGAATACCTGAGACTTCTCCCGAAGAATCCTTTCTAAGTGGCTCAAGGATTGGCTGCACTGTTCCACCGTTCCTATTCATCATGCAACAACTCTACATCTCAAAGGAATCCCTACAAGACCTGATAACAGATTGCACCAGACTGGCACTTACCAAAAGCAGCTTCATCTGTATGGGCCAGAGTGAGGCTGATGATGAAATTTTTGGTTAGGTCCAGTGTGAACAGGTCCAAAAAGTCAGCATCCTCTCGCACCTGCTGATAGATGGCATTGAAGGCCACTGCTCCCCCTATTTAAAAAAAATCTTCATGAAGGAAATTTCATGAGAGGTAGAACTAAATTGTTGTCATTTGGTGAAGAAACAAAGCTCACCAAGGCGCTTTCGAGGGCTTGGATGCAGAAGAAGAGATGAAACACGCTGGAGGACAGACCTCAGGTTGGCACTGTGACATCCTGCAGGTGCTTGCTTGATGGACCAGACCATGAATTCCCGTAGGCATGTGGCCCCATAGTCCCATTCAGAACACTCAGGTCTTTCCACTACTGCTTTCTAGTAAATATAGATAACTTTCATGAACCTACACCTGCAAATGCTCTATAGTTTCACATGATGATGTGACACTAACCATGATGGAATCGAGGAGCACAGCGGTCTCAGGGCCCTCGTATCTCCTGTTGTTTGTGAACCAATGAATGAGCTGGAGAGTCAAGGGTTGAAACAGCTGCTTTGTGACAGTGTCTGCATCACAGGACAACTGAAAAATGGCTGGGAAGAGATGTTTGTACAGCCCTGTCATTGGCTGCTTCTTCTGCCTTTCCTCTGGCTGCTGTGCTCCTGTTAACACAATGATTACCCTCACTTGCACTTCTCTGGGCTACATTCCATGCCTGCATCAGTCCTTCCAAAGCTATGCCATAAGCAAAGCATTCAGGAATATATTGTCCTATTATAGTAGATCTCCACATTTCTGTGGACTATGAATTCTATTCTCATCAAGAGAACACTGTGTATCTGGACTTTCCCTATTTGAAGTTGTTGAATTTTGTCAACAAGGAGGGATACCAAGACTACAACAAGACAAGAAGCTCTCAGAAAGATAATGGATGCCATCACCTGTGCCAACCATGTAGATGATGAGTGAATGAAGTGCTTCACATGCAGCCACCTTTGTCTTTCGATCCCCACTTGTCAATGCCAATTCACACACCACTGGCAGGAATTCATCTATTCAACCAAGAGTAGCACTTCCATAAGTACCAGTGATATTGCATCTTGTGCGAAGAACAAGCAGAGAACAAACCTAAAGAGATTTCAGGCTTCATATCCATGAATGGAAAGGAGAAGGTGAGGTGTTTGATTGGATCCCAAGTTGTGGCCAGGTGCCCAATTTCCTCAGGAGTCAACCTGACCATTGCTTGCACTGTTTCAGATCCCAGAGACCCAACATAAGTCAAGATCTCTCGCTGAATCTCTCCCAGACTCACCTCTCTCTTGTGCCATCCCTTCCTCTGTTGAAGCATTCATGTAAATGTCAAAACTAGGTTCTTAAAAAACAAGATTTTAATGTTCATTACCTTGGAATAATGATGCTTGTGAAGGGCAGCTGCACGAGCCTTGCGACGGGCAGCAGCAGTCTTCTGCTTCAAAGAACTTCCCTTCTCAAACTTTTCCCCCACTCTCTTCTCACCTGAATATCAATTTTTTTTTTTTTAAGGAAACAAAGGAAAAACGAAATTTAAGCTTTGCTTCATCATACAATCAACTCTCATTTATTCAGTCAATAATCTAATAATTAATTTGAACAGGATAAATGACCTGAGCAAAAATTTCATGCAACCTATATTAAAATTTTCTGTTCATTATGAACACATTGAATTGAATGAATTAAAATTCTGGATCTTCAAGTAATTTGGAGATACTAAATTCAGTCCCCTGAACCATTCTCCATGTTAATCCAGACTTGCTAGCAGAGGAGAAGGGACAAATAATAAAACTATGTCTGGTTCCTTTCCTGGCCTCCACTTCTCCTCGCCCCAGGAATAAGAAAGAGAAAGGGAGGAAATGGGTGGAGGGGGTAAGTCTCAGTAAAGAGATTTTCCCTTCTTGCAGTCATTTCCTGCTTCCATAATCAATCCCATCAAACCTCATCATTAGAGCCTCAATAAGTCCCTATCCTCCTTCCATCATAATTAAGCATGATCCAACATGTACTTGGCATAAATCTGAGCAGAAAAAATTATAGATTTATTCTATGAGACTCATGCAAGAAACTATCAGTGACTCCTGCTCACATGGGAATAAAACAGAATAAATGGCTACACTTTTCAGCAAACTGGAATCGTAATTTTATTAGCCCAGAAAAATAAAATTCAGTAGTCACTCAGTCAGGTTTTCAATAAGTCAGACAAGATTTTAATCTGGACATAATCAACAGTCCCCATAAGACCAGATTAATAAGAAGCTGACCATACATGAGAAGTGTGGAAGAGGACTCACTGATTGAACTGAGGTAGGCCTGAAGAAGGGGAAGAATGTCCTTGTAATAGGGATTCAAAAACTCTCTGCCCAGGTCCTTCCCCCATGTCTGAAGAGCAGTCAAGGTGGTGGCAGCCAATGGCAAATATCCAACACCTCGGCTCAATGACAGCTGCAAGACCAATGTCATATCCCTTCACACTTTATAATCAATTCTTAGGATAAATGAAGAAAAAAATTCCACAGGGTCAATGACCTTGAGAGCCTGAACGATGAGAGGGAGAAGATCCAGAACGAGAGGCGAGGGAAGGGCAAGAATCATTTTCAAGCAAGACACAAGGAGTTCATCCTTGAAATTCCTGCATCGATGGAGTGTTTCTTGGGTGAAATGAAGGTACAGCATGTATAACTGCTGCATATATGGCTTGGCACCTGTGTCCTCATTCTAAATAACAAAGACTCTTTTTCAAGCAGTAAACACAGACTGCACTTCATCTAAGAGAAAAAGAGTATGACACTATTACTCTCAATTCTCGGAAAATACATAGGAGAACAACCTGTCTTGTAAGGTTTCCGAACTCAGTGAAACAATTTTGCAGTTACAGATGTCCTTGCATTGAAGAATAGAGTTCAACTACTTGAAAATCCTTCACTGGTTTTGTGTGCACTATAGGAAGCTTCAAGCACAAATTATTTGGAAAAAGGGACATGAAAGCAAAACCCATTTTCAGTAAATCACTAGCTCATATTTGTTAAAGTCAAATAAAACGCACCTTACTAGTTTTCATAAAAAACATTCTTGGTTATCTTATCAACCTCATCTTCTATAATGAGAGAGGCAAGATGGATAGGAAGCATCACAGTGGTAAACAATGGACTTTGTTCAGTTTGAGTAATGGATTACCAGAACACCACACCTTTGGAGTATGCAGAGTTTTACAAGCCCAACTGTACTAATAAGCAACAAGCAATATATTACATTTTGAGGAGGGAGATTCTTTAACCAGTCCAATCAGTAGCTGCAGTTCCAAAGTCAGATAAACCAGGAACTGAAGCCCTAATGTTAGCCCACTCGTGAAGCCCACTTAGTTTCTTCTATAATAATCTGAGTTAGTTCAGATCATGATGCTGGAGAAGACACATTTCAAACAGCATTAACAAAAGCCAAGACATATTCATCACATGCCTACCACCTTGAAGACCTTGGAAAACCTATGTAAGCATAAAAAATCTGAGTACCATGTCCATTTGTGCTTTGTTCATAACAGTGAAACCAGTAGAGAGATCCCTTTCTTTTCATTATCAAGCAAGAAAACTTAAAATTCATCAACATTCTCAGGTCAAAATTATCAGCTGACCATCTTAGATAAAAGCAGACTGGAGCATTAGCATCTTTAGGACATCTGATCTGACAGATTCCAGGCTCTCATCAACAACTTATGCTGCTGAAGAGCCCAAACCTCTCATTTATAAAGGACTTAATGGAAATACTAAAAACTCACATTGAAATGGAAGGTATGGGAGGCGACCTTGAAGCAAAGGGTCATGAGGCGGTAAAACCCGCTCACAAGAGGGTACGCCACAGCCAACTTCACAACTTCATAAGAGAAGTTGAAGAGATGCGAGGGAAAGAGGTCGAGACCATCTCCAGTCAGGAGGAGGTCTGTGAGCAGGTCCACGAGATTCACGAACACCTGGAAGTCTTGGGGGCGCTCAGCCACCAGGTCTTTCACTGGATCGGGGCTCGGTTCAATTGTGTCTTCTCCTCCGCTTCCAGGCTCCTGGTCGGCAGGGAAAACGATGGTGACGTGCATTTTTCTCAAGCCAAAAATACTTTTCCTTCATGCACAGGTATTCATGGCATGCTGATGAGAAATATTAATACATCACAGGGATAAAGAGGTATGCCAAAGAGACACCTGATCCATGCTTGTAAACATCAGAGATCCTGAAAACACTTTGCAAAGGTGTGCTTATATGAGACCGGACACAAGCAAATCCTGTTTTCCAAATGATGACTGCATAAACGTTAAGGTAATTTACATCGTTCAACAAAAAAAAATAGAAGGAAATGTTACATATAAATGTCACCAATATTGTGGCGACCTATACGAAGTGATTATATGTACTTATTATTTGTACAGATTATATGTACAGGATTATATGTACTTTTTTTTATCAATGCCTAATCAGGGTCAATGGTTGGGTAAACTTCAGAGGTCGTCACGAGATGGCGCATCTCTCGCCGCGCGTCTGGACATTATTGAGACGATTCACTTTTTTGATGATCTTCGGTGACATTCTGTGCTTACGGAAAACTTCCCGTACATCTTTTAACCCTGTCACCGTGAAAGTCCCTCATGTTACCTCAAGTGAGGATGCTTGTACAATGTACGCCAAGGAATGGTGCACACAATAAGAGAGAGCCTGCTAGTAACCAATAGCCCCGGCACAACCTGCACCTCTTGCACCTCAACTTCGTCCGACAGTAATATTTTTTCTTTCAAAAGTCATATCTAATCTGGCCTACCAAAATGACCCTAGTTCCCATAAACTACCGTTCACCGTTCCTACGCGGCACACCAAGCGTACATTGGAAGCGGAAGTCCCGTTTGCCCTTCTACCCGCTGGAAGAGTCCCTTGATCGAGAAGTATCCGATACCTCCAGTCTCCGACTTCAAATGACCGAAAGGAACCGGTTCTGTACCCCTCGCCACTCGGAAGGTTCATAAGGAGTACTCGTATGCAACAGGCTATACCTCGGCTAGCGAACTGTCACTTGGAAGCATAAATTCTTCTGATTTCTAGACATGACCTTGACTAAACTTTCCTGTGTCGTTGCCGGATTGCCCCGGTTGGCCTGTTGAAACAGAGTCCTGTCGTTTTACCAAGGAAATACGCAAATGGGACTGCCACTCTCGTCCTTGCTGTATCTGCAGCCAATATTAAAGATTATTCAGTTGCGGATTAGACATTTCAAATTTCCCTGAAGTCGTCCCTGGCACCTAAAAGCCTACAGTACGACTAAACTACCTGTCCTAAACCTACCTGCACTCGGTCCGCGAACTGTTGGAATGAAAAAGTTCGTACTGAGATCCCCCAGATTCAGTATTCAGCGGAGATCAGACGGCTAAGTCAAGCCAGAAAATCGCCACAACATTATTAATAAACTCATGTTCTACTGTGCCGCTCACAGCGATTGAAATATTAGAGTTCCCAGAAAATTTTGACTGGGCCTTTGAAACTGCCTTTCAAGGAAGCTCATCTATAAGCTTCGAATGAGAATATCATTCAACAACAGCTGTACAGAAGCAGGGTTCTGGCCAGGCTTTCATAACTATGCGACAAGCCCACCGTCATTCAGCCGTGCCGTAACGTGGACTGACCAGCCGGTCGAGCGCACTTATAAACCCGTACGTTTTCGTGTCTTCCTCTCCCTCTCGCAATTCCGAATGAATCTAGAAACCTTTAACCCTTTCGAGAGCGGACTCGGCAGAGGGCGACAACTGCACGGAACGAGTTTCCGGCGTGAGCCGCGCTCGATTTTGCGGATGCCGATGTTCCGGGAAAACAAGTCATTATATATTCCATCGGAACAAAGGAGAAAAGAAAAACTAAAAAACGAAAGAATTAACAGTCCACCAGCGTGTGGTACTCGCAAGAGCATGTCGCAGCAGCTCCCCTGACAATGTGTCACGCACGACACGTTTGCTCGAACTTTCGAAATCCGAATATTGCACGATGCTCTGCAATGCCTTTCACGCACGCGTACCCTATTCGGCACGTTACTCTTGAAAGGGTTACTTTTTTTCTCGGTCTATCAGTCTCTCACCCACGATTTCACGATGGCTGAGTGTGGGTTCATTATCTCGAAAGTAAGGGAGCAGTGGTAGCTCTTTTTACGTTTCTTGCATATTGCGAACGAAAACTTCCTCATCACGCAGCGTATTAAAACCAGGTCAATGGGGATGCATCAACCACCGGTATATCAGTCACCGGTATGGCGTCATCGGTTATCGGAAGGTCTGCACGATACCGGCAATGCACAAATAACAACGTGCCAAACGAAGAAAACAAAAAATGAACACGTGAATACGGCTCGGCCAACACGATTCTCAACGACAACAGGAAAAATGAGGGTTGTCACGATGCACCGATCGATGTATCGCTGTCATCATCGACAAATGGAGGCCGGATAGGCCCCGAACTCCGTTGGCAATCCACTACTGCTGAATACCACGAGCCGCCAATGCTGGATGGAGCGATAGTTTCTTTAGCTATCCCTACAGTTCTCCCCACCCCAATCAAGGAAGAGAAATGACAGAAGATGGAAAGAAGTCCGCGTCCCGATCGCGGCGATTTCCGATGACGGAAATGAAACCCTCGCTCAATCGCGATGAGACACGACTGAACCCACCCACACCCCTCTCCCCCTCCCTCCCGGTGAATCGATGCACTATCGTTCAGGTCGACAGAACGATGCTTTCACAACAGCAACCGTGATAGCCCAAGACAAAAGTTGAACGTACCTTCCTGATAGGCTTATTAGAATAAGTATTTCCTATCAGTTCTTCGGTCTCTCTACAAGTCACAATTGGCATCAGCACCGGCCGACGGACAATAGATCATAATCGACCATCGACCGAATGTGGCCAAAGGTACAGCCCTAATCAAAATACAACTGAGAAATCGTCTGAAAGCTCATCACCGAAGAGCTTCACACTGATGTCGGTCGAGGAATTTTCAGTATTCAGAGGCTGTGTGTCTACAGAAGCCGATACAATGAGCTCGTATTTTCCTCACGCCCTTGAGTTTTTGGCAAGGAATGTGAATCGTAAACGTGCCATTACTTCCGCAAAAGTTTCTCCTAATGCTTTATTTGTCCTCAAACTGGATTGAAAAGGTTTCAGGGTTGGTGCATGTGCCCACGGGAAGATCATTGAGCCGACCCAGTAAAGGAAATTTTCTGGTTAGAACCTTACCGAAAAAATTTAGCTTTCATGTAAACATTTCATCTCCGTTCTTCATAACGACTTGCTTTATTTAGCATAAAGCTACTAGACAGAAAATTCAAGAAAGGGCTGATAATAAAGTACCAAATTGTCATAAAGGCACCTTAAAGTATGACACCAATATCAATGCAGAAAATGGGGGAGAGATCAACTCACCTGTGCATTTCGAAGGGCAACAAAATCCAATTTCTGCAAAAGCATGATGGAAGCCTGTATGAGTTCTCTGAATATATCCTCTCTCACCTCCTCCTTCTTCTTCATTCCTGCATCTGCAGGACCCATCAAGAGCAATTCAAATCATAATCAGATTCTTGCACCAGGAGTATAATTGGGAAAGAAACCAGAAAACTTACCTATGAGGCTAGCATCACTGAATGCCTTCTTTCCAATTAGGTCTTCCCAGAGAGGAAGATATTCTCGATATGTGATGGGTTTTCTGGATGAAAATCCAGATGTCTGTCTTTGCATTTCAGCCTCTTGAACAATGGGATGTGAACAACTCCTCAAGAGGCTCTGGTATACTGAAACAGGAAAAAGGCAACACTTCATCTATAAATTTTTTCATGCTAATTGCACCAATTTGCTCATATTAACTGTCCCAAAACCTCATCTTGAGTAATATCATGGATATCATGGTAAAATCAATGCGATCAAATTCTTAAGCAGCAAAGTGGAAATCAAATGCTACAACTAGGGCTGGCTATGAATGACTTACCAAACCGATGAAGGAAGGAGACATATGCAGGACCCCTGGTATGGATGGAGTAGAAAAGCTTGAAGAGTGCCCGAGAGCAGAGGAAATGATAAGCTGTCTCCATGAGGGGAAATAACTCCACCAATCGAACTGAGAGTCGCTCCAATCCACTGTGACGACTACCATAGATTCCTTCATCCATGTGGGTCACAATGAGAGCCAGAGACTCAAGAAAGCTTGGAAGGGTAGCCACTCGTTCATCTATCTCCTTTCCCTCATCCCTGTACCAGTAGTAAATCATTGGAGACTAACTTCACTGCTGATCCTAGCTGGTTGAAGCAGATACAATTTACACTGCCAGTAAGGAAGGATATGAACCATTGATCATGGAAAAAAGGTGAAAAAAACTGCATAAAAGAGAGCTAGACCAACTCTATCATCACATGGCAAGAAGAGGCAAATTCCAAATTTGGCAAGAGCTCAAAATGAATGCTGGAATTGCTGTGGAGACTATACTTCCCACAGAAATTGGAATTAAAATGGAAAGGCTCTAAGAAACATAGCTCATGTATAGAATATTTAATTCTACTCCTTCAAGTCTATAAAATACTCAGGCCATCCCAAAGCATGAAACATTCCTCAACATCTATGGTCATTGTGATGCATCAATGGACAAATATAAGCCAATGGTTTCATGCATCAACACCCTCAAAACTACAGTCATGACAGGAGTGGAAAAAGTCTCTTTAGTTTCAACATCTATATAGTTCCCAATGCTGTTTTTGACAGAAGAGTTATTCCCCAACCTGAGGAAGAGGATCTGGCCCTGTTGGAGAGCTTCATTGAACATGACAGCCACATGAGCTGGACCCCGGAAGTGGACAGCAGGAGCGGCAAGGGCCCCAAATCCCTTGATGGCCACTGACACCCCTCTGGCATTCCCTTCCACACTCATCAGCTTCTTCCTCATCTCTCCCAACAGATACTAACAACATGTATTAAAATGATACAAATGAAAAACGAATAACAAGCCATGGAGTCTCTTCACCAATGTAGAGAGAATTAAAGAGGCTTCACTCACTTCAAAAATCTGCTGGGATTTCTTTCCATTATCATCTTTGTATTGAACAAGGAGAAGTGCCACCTGAGTGAGGAAGGTCTCCATAGCAAGGAAGGCTACTTTCCTGTTCTCACGATTGAGATTCATGCACCAATTGGAGAGCCACTCATACAAATTCTTGAAGTTGTCATACATGTGAGGTGCAAATTGTGCACCATGTTTCCCAATTAACTCCAGAGATGCTAAAAGTAAACAACAGGCCATGAAGAAATATCAAGCAGATTAAAAGTAGAGGTTTATTTGAGAGATGAGCCTCTGAACAACCTCTGACTGCCTCATAGCGTGAAAGATTCAGGTTAGGATTGAGGACCTTGTAGGCATAGGAGAAGATAAGCTTGCATTTCTGAGGATCATCTTCAGGGCTCTGTGTGAAGTGGGATAAGAGACCACAGAGGCCTTTCAAGGATCCACAGATGATGGGAAACTTGGGATCTCCTGCTCCATCCATCTAATGTAGAACAAGCAAAATGTTCACAGCAATGTTCCCAATAAATACATGTGTAGAGATCAATAATCTATAGCAAAAATTTTTAAAACAATCTAATGAAATTAATCTCATGAAGTGAAGGTATGCTGACCTATGTAAATAGGTCAGCTTGTCCTCATTGGAAAGAGGTACATCATAAAATCATTTTCATATTGTAAAAAAGGGTGTGATAAAGTTTTTTCAATCTGTTGTCTTCAGCCTTCACGAAGCTGCAGAAACTCATCTTGCTGAACCCATGGGTACAAGCAGCTCAGACCCCTTTCTTTCCTTTACTCTGGGGTGATACCAGTAGCTGCCACATGCCTTAATGGGATGGAGGAAAGGAGTTGGCATCTTCATATATTCCATGCCAATCTCAAATTTAAAAAAATTACTCTTACCTATACATAAGTTTCCACACATTCCTGAGCCAAAAATGTTTATGACTCTCAACAATTAGTATTATTATTCTGTCTGAAATTAATCACAACCAAACAAATAGTCAGGAGAACAAAGGTTTATATAATACTCTGAGTATCAAAAGAAAGTACAAAAACAAGTCAAACCTATCAGAAAATAGACCTTAGCCAAAAAAGGCCTTGTACTAATCATGAATGTAAGGTTTGGTAATATTCAGTTTTTTCCATATTTTTTCATTTATATGCAGACAATTATGCAAACCTTCTGGCAATGCATAATATGACAATTTAAAGGAATGAGCTGGACACATTCTAATCTCCTCAAAACTGATAAATAATACTGTATTTTGCAATCATGATTATCCCTCATGTCACACATTTGCATTTAATTAATGGATACTTTTTCCAGGCTTCCAGAAACTGCAGTATTCATCTTCTCAAGGAAGGGCAACAGTAAGCAATGATCAGCGACTTTTTACACACAGAGACCCTTGAGAGATCAAAATGAAGAACATAAGTGATCCTACACCATTAGGAACTCCTTATCCTTTAATGGAGATAAACCCAAGAGATTGGACAAGATACTGATCTTTGCTTGATTATTCTTAGAAGCTTGGCATTTTTATTTATCCACATCAGAGAGAAACTTATTAACCAACACCAATTGTGATAGCATCAAAAAAGCCCCAGAATGAAAGAAGTTAGCCATTGTGATCCAATGTTAAAACTGCAATAGCATAATTTTTCTCAACCCCCAAATAGTTTACCTTGTGGAGAGATTATCTCACATTTGAAGAAGTAGTCTGGGAAGAGAGAGAAAGCACTCACATGCTTTTTCAGCTCACTGAGATACAAATCCAGAATCTTGTTGGAATGCCTGACCATGAACTCAGGAAAGTGCTCCGCCAAGGCCCCAAGCAGAACAAAGATGGCCTGGACCTCTGTTGAAAATTATATTCTACTTAATGCATCTCAAAGACAACAAAAAGATAGTTTGACCCTGATTGGAACACATGGTAGAAGAGGAAAGGAACTACAGTTGTGATAACATTTATTAGACAGAGCTCTTGAATTACATTGACATACTTTCAAGTACAGAAAGTCATTACCTGAAATTTACATCCATCTCCACTCCTCTCCTCCTTTGATATTGAGCTTAAAATTCTTTGTGAACCAGGCAGAGGTATCATTTTTTGGCAAATATCAGCACTTGAATATAAAATATAAGCTTGATCTCAAAGGGCAATCATTCAAGGATTCACAAATCATTTTTATTCATTTGAAAAATGTTCAGATATACACTATGTGCTAGTCCAAGAATGGAAATGACCTTCCCAATCTCTGCAGTAAATCAGCAAACTCACTCCCGTTCTGAACAGGAATTCCCAGTCCTGCATTCTGCCCCAAGGACTAAGCTCGCATTCTCTCCAAACTCAAACTAGCTTCCTTATTTTCCCAGGTAGCACCTGCTACACTGCAGAGATCTGGATAGATTCAAAGCTACTCCAATTACCTCCAGCTGTGAATGCCCCACCCTCCCCTCTTAGGTACCAAAACCTAACATATCACACAGACACACCAATCAGCAATCATCAATATCAAGTTGCAGTCATTTGCAAATGAAGGGAGGTTTCTGTATTTCACAAACCAGTTGGGTTGAGTTTGTAGAATTGTGTGAGTTCCATGAAGCATAAATTGGTCAAGCCTGGAACATCAAAGCCATCACTGTTACCCGAGATGCCAGGGATAGCTGCCAAGGAACTGAGCACCCAAAAGCAGCCAGATCGTAGTTTTCCCGACTTTGTTCTCCGAAATAGAGAAAGGCATGTCTCCTGCAACCAAATAGACAGAGTCAAAAATGGAAATGCATTCATCAACATTACTCACTCAAACATTAGAGACATCCTGACATGATTTCCTTTTAGTATGCCTAGCTAACACAAAACACAAGTAACAAACTCTGATTTTTGAGACTCTGCTAGGGAGATGTTTCTTGACCAGTGGGAGAAATTCCTGAATAATGTCCAGTGCCAGCTTTCCAGGCTCTTCTAAATCCTTCCATTTTTGCTGTTGATCTCCAACCTTTTGCAAGAAATCAAGCAGCCCTCCTGCATCAAGGAGCTGTGCAGCAGCCAAGCCTGACAAGGAGAACAAATCAACAGGGATTAGTGTGAATCCTTCATGAAGTGAAGCTTAAAGAGAAACACTGAATTCACAATTTTAGTACCAAAGACTGATGATGCATCAGGGACAAATAAAGGCCAATTAGCTAATACCAACCAGACTCAGAATCTTCAACAAGAGGTCTGGAGAAGAAGAAATGATGAATATCCTCAAGCAATTTCTTGCAATCACGTCCAGTTCCTTCTTTAACTGCTGTGTTCAACTTAGAGAGACAATCCTCAACATCCATCACCTCCAGAACAAGAATGAAATAAAAGCACAAGGATCAATGCATACACAAGGACATGCATTTCCCACTGGTCAGAGACCTTTAAATAACAAATAAAATTATTATGGAATTCTAGCTAGAAGCAATTATGCATACTATATCAAACTCACAGATATGCAACATATATTTTTAAAAAATAGATTTAAAAATATATTTGTTTAAATTCCAATTCTCAAGGGCTCAATTAAAAGTGCAACATTGGATCTAAGCATATGCAAAAAATTTGAGATTAAGGCTGAAACATACCTATGCCTATCCATAGAATTATCTAGGGTGCAATTTGCTGACAAATGGCATTTAATTATGGCCAACTGTAAGTGGGGAGGGTTTCAGTTCAGTTTACAAGGTAAACCTAGCCTACTACAGAATTTTAGTGTGTGAAACTAACTTCTTTTGAATGAAGTACAATGTCAGGCCAAATTATGCTTGTCCCTGGCATATGCTTTGTCTTTTATTTCATTATGCATTATTTTAATTGGTATTATCTTTAATCTACTTTCCTCCTGCATTTAATCTATGTAGCACAACCTAGTTTGCCACAACTCTCCTTCTTACACTTGGACCATGATTACTATGGCAACCACCGAAGTTAGGGCCAACAAACACTCTCTTAGAAGTCGAAATGAAACAGAAAAAAGTGAGCATAGGCCTAGGCCCTAACGCAGTCGAGAATCATCGCTTCTGCCAATACTTTGCCAGGCTTGACCACAAAATCCAGCTTAGGCCTAACACCTAACCAACAAGGTCTGGGCTTCTAGCAAGAAAAGGGTAATCCGAAGTCCAGTCACTATTGGACGCGTCTGTGACGACTGGATATATGCCGATCTCACTTGTAACCCGTACAGTAACGTCTAACATTATGTAAGCCTTTACATTAAGTTAGCCTAACGTTGTACAATTGTGGAAAGCGAGGGACTGCGCGGCGCCATGAAGCAAATGATCGCGCCAGCCGGCAGCCTCCTCGTAGCGTCTGCAGCGTCGTCTGCTCGCATTTCCCGGCTGATTGCGTCGGCAATGTCGTCCACTTCCGTTTCCTGCCGGACTATTAAGACAAAGCTGCAGAGACAGACTCTACCCGATCCTTGGAATACTTACTACAAACGGGTAGTGTTTATTTTCGACTTTTGTTTCGAGGGAAAGTGAGCGTTTCACTGCAATTTCACTCAGTCTTGTCAATTCAGCAGGAGAGGAAAAATAAATCTAAAACAATGATAATGTGCAAGAGTGATACTGCAACAGAAGAGGGAAAAGTATGCCCGTGGGACGCAACAAATTACAGAGAAAGCAATGGAGAGAGGAGAAAAAGAAAAGAAATGCTGAAGATAAAAGTAACGTAAATTAAACTCCCAGAATACGATTCATTAGGACGAAAGACTATAGCAAACTACTTGAACAAGCAAAACAGCATGAAACAAAACAAATTCAGAAAAGAATAAAAATGAACACGAGAATTAAGATCAAACAGAAAAAAAAAACAAAACAAAACAAAACCAAAAGCAGGAGAAAGGAAAAAAAAGCAAGAAGACAAGAAGATGGTAAAGGAGACAAAGAAAATCGTTAAGCATCTTCGGCCATTAGCGAGAAACGAGAGAAATTCATCGCAGCTTTTTGTCATTGAGCTAGATAATGAAACAATGCAAGAACCTTTTTGTTACCATTTGCCATGAAGTCGTGCAATTTGTCTTACATTTCTGCAACGAATGATGTCTTTTTAACGCCAGATTTGGAAATCACTGTTGCAAATTTTTCTCAAGTACTCGGTCTAAAAAGTGCACATAACGCAGTGCACAATAGCATTTAAAGATTGCAAGTATTAACGTATCGAATGAAAGAAATGTAAAATCCAGAGAGTTGAAAAAAAATTTTTGACGACCTCTGCGTGAGTATTCAACAATGGCAAGATAAATTTCGCGTCAGTTTTTGGATGTTAGCAGGAAGAAAGTGAGCGATGTTGCCCAGAGAGAGTAAAGCAGGAGTTAGCAATTTTTCGAGAAAAAAAAATTTTAGCACCAAACTAGCATTCTTAGAGAAAAATCTCAATTTTTATATACAAACTTATGGAGCATTATTATATGATGAGTTCCGTATCACAAACTTAAAAAAATAATAAATAAAATAAAATAGGAGCAAAGCCGATTGAGCTGCCAAAAGTTTCCCCGTCCCTTCCTCACGAGTTACTCAAGCCCTCACCCGCCTCAGGAGATCCCGATGACCCCGCGGATGGCGAGGCACTGCGGCGGCCAGCGCTCGAAAGGCGCGGGACGGCGGGACCCCCCAAAGACCTTATACTGGGCGCATTCAGTTGCGACCCGAGCTATAACGCGAGTCACGATACGAAACACTGAATGCCTCGGGTGATGACGCAGGAACCTGACTCGAGTTACGTGCTATGATCCGATCTCCGAATCCGATCCGATCTGAGATCGAGTCATTATCGTCGGGTCATCACTCCAAACATGGCGACATCCATGGAAGACTTCCAGCGGCGAGAGTACGTACACAGATTCGGGGAAACGTGCAAATGAAGTTGTGAATGATGCAAA